GGGGCCCCTGAGGCTGTGCAGTGCAGAACCTGAGAGGCCGTTCTGGCACCGGGCAGATCCTAAGGGACCTTGTGTAATGTCACGCAAGCTGGCCACGTGTCTGTCCTGGAAGCCGTAGTTTTGGAAGAGGGTAGATCTTGAATGTCTTTCAGCAGAGGTTTAAAATAAGCAGGATGCTTCTGGAGGTCCTTTTGTTTTGAGCATGTGGCAGACACGAGAAACACTCAGGAAGGGCAGGTCTGAAGGGCCCCAGCCTTGAGACCTGTGTTGTGTGGAGCAGGGCTGTGTTCAGAGCAGACCCTGAACATGTGTTGGCACAGAAATGCTCAAGGCCCATAAGACAGCCACCCCCACCCCGTCCACAGATCCTGTGCTTCCTCCTCCTCCCCTGCCAAGATGCTTGGGGTCAGGTGGGGAGGGGAGGTGGCGAGGCGGGGTCCTGTCCAGCCCGGCCAGCTCAGAAGCCTCTTTCTCTGGCTTCAAATCACTTCCTCCATGGAGGAGATAAGGAGACTGCTCTGCCTCCCTCTTGTTGTAAAGCCTGTGTGAGAAAGAAGAATATGAAGGGCCTCACAGACTTCTTCAGAGTCCTGTTACTAGGTACTAACTTGCCTTCACTCCTCTGGAAGAAAAGAAGGGAAAAGTCTCGCACCAAGCCCCGAGGGAGAGGTCATTGCATTATTTTAATCTTATCGGACGTGATCTTCAGGGCTGTCGTGAGGTTGAGGAGCCAAGTGGCAGTGAGTTGAAGTGAATGCTCTGGCCCACACAGCCTGACCTCTTCTGCCCAGGCTCTGTGTCTGCCAGCATTCTGGCAACCAGGGAAGAGCATGTAATTTCCCACACGCCACAGTCCTGGGCACCAGGGAAGAGCAGAGAAGCAAAACCAAAGCCCAGTCCCCAGGAAGCTTGCTTTCTAGTCCTGAAATGAACAGGGGAGTGAGCAGGGCAAGGATGAGAGAAGGGGAAATGTGGAGAAATCTGTGCTGGGCCTGAGGATGGAAAGTGTGAGCAGCGTGGTCAGGAGGCCTCTGGGAGGAGAGCACCTTTCAGCAGGGGCCGGAGAGAGAAGGAGAGAAGGAGCCACCTCAGCGCCTCTCCAGGGTCTGCAGCCATCTGCAGTGAGGGTGGCCCAGAGGCAGGGACCCCACCTACTGAGCCCCTTCGCAGGCTCTGGCTGGCTTCTGGGGTGAGAAGCCTGGCTGCCTTCGGGGTGCCTGTTCAGCTGCTCCTCCTGTCTCGAAGCTCCCTGGAGACCTTTTCCCAAACCAGCTCAGTAGGTTTTAAGGAACAGAGGCTCCAGTGTGGCTTTCCTGCAGCAGCAGAGCATCCCAGGTCTCCATGGGCAGCTCCTGAGCGGCTCTCTCCTTCCGCTTCGGGAATGTTTTGGAACTTTCAAGGCCGGAATGAGCTTACCGGGAGATACTGGCCTGGCAAGAGAAGCCGCTGACCACCTCTGGTGATGAGTTCTTTTTTTTGGTGGTGGTAGAGATGGAACCCAGGGCTCGTGCTAGGCAAGCACACTACCATTGAGCTGTGTCCCCAGCCTGTGACTTCTCCTTTAAAGCTTTAGAGCCCTACTCCCCAGAGGCTAGAAGGGTACAGAATGTTGTGATGCATAGAATTTCAAGAGGAGAGGCTTTTAGGGACTATTCTCACCCTTGCCTGTCCAGAAGGGGTATTATAAACATACCCAGCTGTGTGGGCTCCAGGAGTTTCAGCCTGTACATTTACCCATTTGGGAGATTCATTTATTCTATTCATTATTGTCTTAAATGGTGTGTGTTTTTTAAAAGGGAATTCTTTTGAAATAAGTTATTTCCAGAAAATAACTTAAGGATCAAGAAAATTTTTATACATGAAGAGACTCCAGGGTCCGGGCAGCTCTGTCATGACAGATCCTTGTCATGCTGCATGGTCTGGAGGGGCCCTGTGGGTAAGATGGGGTGACTTCAGTGGTGCCCCAGAGCAGGCAGCCCAACCACTCACCTGGGAGCCTCCCAAGACTGCAGTGATGCCCCGCGGTGGTGTGGCACTCCTGGCCGCTGCTGGCCCCAGAGCTGCCCTGGCCAGAGGCTTTGCTGCTCTGGTCCCCTGGTCAGGAGCATCCTCAGCGATGCCAGGGGAGCAGACTTCCTGGAGAGAGCGTCTGCACTCGCCATCCTTAGTTCCAGAGACCCAGACCTCAGGAGGCCTGCGCCTTCCCGGAGCTGCGCTCAGCACCTCCCTGCCTGAGTATGGTGCCCTGGACACACACACAGACCTCTCTCAGCCCCTCCAAATAAAAGCCATCTTCCTCTCCCTCTGTGCTATCCTAGCCCATGTGGTCCACTGAGCCTCCTTCCTTCATCTTTGTTCTTAGGTGGGCTGGGTGGGGGAGGCTGGGATGTTAATGAGGAGGCCCGAGCAGCAGAAGCTGGGTCTGGGAGGCCCCAGGGTCGCAACATCACGAACCTGATGGCTGATGCTCCTTGGTGTCACCGCCCAGGTCAGTCCTGTCCAGCAACTCATGGTTTCCTGAGCCCCTGGTGGTGGCCGTGGGGTGCAGCGGGGAGCAAGACAGCAGGGCCCACCTTCCCCAGTGTCCCTGATGGAGGAGGCCAGCTCCTCAGCAGGTGGTGCTGGCACTGTGTACACAGGGTGTGGGGAAGAGCAGAGGCGGCTTGTGGTGCAGGCAGCGAAGGTGTTGGAGTGGGTGGGCCTGAGCGGGGCTCTCCAGGTGTGGGGGGCTGCCTGGTGGGCGAGCTGGGGGTGCAGGGAAGGAAGCCCTGTCGGGGAGAGGGGGTTCTGAAAAGGAAGACCCCTCCCACTCCGGGCAATTCATTCCAGACCAGTGGCACTCAGGGCCCAATTTGAGGAAACCCATTTGTCATCGTGACGCAGAGATCCATTCGGGATTCAGGCTGAATTTTCCCCTGAGTCTTTAGTCCTTACCCTGCAACGAGAAGCAGTGCTGATGATTGTGTCTGGGGGATGACAGCGTCTGCCTGCCCATCTCCCTCTCCTTCTCCTGCCAGGCAGCAGCTCCTGAGGGCACACAACGGTCACCAGTGCCCGCCTGGAGCAGGCTCACTGCTGAAACAGTGAAGCTCACTTTTTTCAGAGGTATTTTGAGGATACATCCATTTTCCCTAAGTGAGACCTACTACTTCCATTTATAAATCTGAAACAGGAGCCACCTCAATTTTAGCAGTGTAGGGCTAAGAGTTCCTGCCCGGTGTGGCAGCCGCGGGAATCTGCAGGTGTACTTCTTTGTCTCAGGTGAAAATGTGTGCAGCTCACACCTAAGCGCTGTAGGACTGCTATCTGAGTGAGCGGATTTTTTAAATCTTAGTTTAAGAAATGTCTAGTGTCCTTTCTGGGAAAAGGGGGGCTGTCAATACGTGAATGAGCTGAGCGCTTTAAGGTGGGTTTTTTGAGTGGGAGGGAAAAAATCTTGTCCTGAAGTTTTGAAACTTTGCTTTATTGCAATTCTTTCTACTGTAAAATAGAAATAATGTCACCTCCCTAGGCAAGATAAGGCTGCGTGTGTGCCTGTGTCAGGGACAGTGTTGTGGTATTAAGGTGACATCACAGGCAAGGAAACGAAGGCCGGGAAGGGGTTCCCAGCCCTGGCTGCTCATCTGTGTCACCTGGGGTGTTTGCACGCCTGGTTTGCATGCTTACCAGTGCCCCTGTGGCCATGCTGTCCCTTGAACCCTGTTCCCCACCAGTACGACTCGACTCGCTCATCCCGAAACTCCCTCCCGAAGCCGACTCCTGTCCCTGAGCTTTGTGGGCTTTCCGTGGCTTGGCCGCGTCACCTGTTGGTTTCCTGCCCTGAGCTTGGGAGCTGCGAGTCCTGCTGGTCACCTGGGCCTGTGGCTGCCAAGCTCCTTGTAGGCCTCCCAGCCACGGTGGCACCGGGAGGGGCTTTGGGGAGGGGACAGAGCAGTGTACCCTGAGGGCCTCCTTGGGGCCGGTGGAGGGGACCGGCGCTGAGAACCCCAGTGCCTGGACTCCTGGGAAAATTGTCTGAAATAGGCGAGCCTGCTGCAGGGAGTTCCCTGGCGTGGAACTGCACAGCATGAGCCTGCAGCCGCCTTCAGCAGCCAGTGAGACTCTGGCCAGCCTGGGACCCGTACGGCCTCTCCTGCCTCCACCCCTAGGCTTCATGGACCAAGTCTTCCCCGGCCCCACCCTGTGCCCTCAGCAGTGATGTGCACAAAGACCAGGCAGGGCCGACTCGGTGTCCCCTCCGCTCACACCCATGTGAGCAGAAAGGCTGTTTGACCCAGGCCACCCAGAGCGAGGGCTCCTGAGTTCGTGCTCCCTGCTGTGTGTGCCTGCAACTGGACTGAAAATATGGGCTTTATTTCAGACACTGAAAAGAAACACTGTCCTACACAGGGGCCACCAAGCCTGAGCCAAACCTGGATCCTTGTCACACATTCTTCGGGTTATCATTTTGGGTGATAAGAGTAATTCTCTGATACTGTGCACAGCAGGTCTGGGGAAGTGAGGAGCTGGCCCCAGGGAAGCAGGAAGGGGCCAGACCAGGAAACAGGCCCTGCCTGGAGAAGGCTCACTGATGCCAGGGTGTGAGGTCCAGCCATCATGGGGTCCAGTTAGCTCCAAAGAATCAGCGTAGTGCCTCGGAGCCCCTGTCGGTACTGAACAAATGAGTGACCGGATGAATGAGTGGTGCCGGCCTGCTGCCACCCACAGGAGGACGCGGTTGGCGACAGTGTGCCGTAGGAAGGACAGCAGCCTCCCCTCAGCCAAGCCACACACACACACACACACACACCCAGGCCCAGAGCCGCATCCTTGGAAGGGCCTCACCCATCTGCGGCTGGTGGGGCAGGGACCTAAATAGCCCGTCCAGGTCAGCTCCAGCGGGCTCCTCCCCGCATCCTGGCCATCTCCGGGTTGCTCGTGGTCACCATCTGCCTGCCCCATCCCTCTTTCCCGGAGACGTTTCACCACTGTCCTTTTCTCTCCTCCTCCTTGGGGTGCAGATCCTGGCCAATGTCTTCCTCTACCTGTGCGCCATCATCGTGGGCGTCATGTCCTACTACATGGCCGACCGGAAGCACCGCAAGGCCTTCCTGGAGGCCCGCCAGTCTCTGGAGGTGAAGATGAACTTGGAGGAGCAGAGCCAGCAGCAGGTGAGGCGTGGGGAGCTGCCGAAGGGGTTCAGTGGGGAGGCCTTGGGCCTGGAAGCCAGGAGGAGAGGAGCCAGCGCAGCGCCAGGCTCCCTGGGCTGGGAGTTCTCAGCTGGCTCCCTTGTTTGCTCACCTGCTTGGCCCTGCGTGGGCTCCCGGCCACCTGAGGGCTGCTTACGACTGCGGGGGAATCACTCCCCCAGGTCGTCTCCATGCTTGACCTCGACCTCCCTCTACCCCCGTTTCTGTTTGTTTTTTCAGTAATGTACACTTTTCACAGAAATGCGTTGCCCAAGTCGCAGCAGTGACTCCCTGGGTTCTTTTCTCAAATGGGAGGCGTTGATGGGTTTCTTTTGAGTTCTTTTTCTTCTCTGCCATTCTTGCCCTGTCCCCAGGCCCTGGCAGTTTGGGTCTGTGTACCTACTGTGTGCCGAGGGCGGCTGGACCCATCCTGCAGCCCCACGCCCCTCCCTGGGAGTGAGAGCTCTCCTCTTCCTTACTACATTCTAAGTCACTTGAGCAGAGGGAAAACCACCCGGTCCCTGGGCCCCCTGTTTACCCTTTTCCGTCTGGAGAAGGCCCTGCTTTTCCCACTCGCTGTCTCCTGGCTCTGCTCCAGCCTAATGCACGACAGAATGGTCCTCCTGGGTCCCTTGTGACTCAGCCTCATAAATGGATTTTGGTCTGAATTCCTCTCAGATGCTTTTTGAAGGTCTTCCAGAGATTTTACCCACCATTTCCTGTCATCTGCAGGTTTATCTCCACTTCTTGAAACGCTCTGGTCCTTTGCTCTGGGGACTGCATCATTTTGTGTTCACAAGGTCCTGTGTGCTCTGGATCTACTGGAGTTGTTTTCATGACCCTGCCTCAGAGGTGGATGGGGCTGTAGTTTCGGGTCCTGAGCCTGGAGGGAATACCGCTGTTGGGCCGCCTGTCAGTCAGCTCTTTGTCACCGTAACCGAAGAGCTGAGAGTAACAGCTCGGAGAAGGAAAGGCTTCTTCCTCTCGGCGTCAGAGGGTGCAGTTGGGGGTCAGCTGGCTCCGTGGCTTTGGGCAGAAATATCCTGGCTGCAGCGAGGCCACATGAGAGCTGCTTATTTCAAGGCAGCAGGAAGCTGAAATACCTAATGGGCTGGAAGATAAAATAGTTTTCTCATTGCTGAGACAAAATACCCGGCACCCAGAAGTTAAAGGAGGAAAGGTTTTATTTAGCTCACATTTTGTAGACGTTTCATTCCATAGTTGGTTGGTTACAAGGCACAGCACCATGGCAGAGGGACATCACAGGGACCCCTCCATGGGAGGGTAGACAGGAGGCAGCAGGAGCCAGCAGCCAGCCTCCTTCACTCTCTCCCTTTATATTCCTTCCAGGCTGTGAGCCTCCTATTGGTGCCACCCCTACCCAGGGTGGGGCTTCCACTGTCCACGCCCTCAATCCCAGCATCACACTCTCCATCCACATTCACACAGCTAATCCAGCCATGTCTGAAACTCCCCACCTATGACTGTATGAGGCTTTGGCGACATCTAGACACAAGCCATGACAGTGGTGTAGCACATTTACTGATATGCGTATGTCCAGCCACCCCTGCATCCCTGAGATGCAACCTGCTTGATCGTGATGTGTGGTCTTTTTGATCATTCGCCAATATCTTATTGAGGATTTTTGCATCTATGTTCATGAAAGAGATTGGCCTGTACTTTTCTTTTTCAGTCAAGTGATTGTCCGGTTTGGGAATCAGAGTGACGCTGACTTCCAAGAATGACTTTGGAGTACTCCTTCCCTTTTAATTTCATAAGGAATTTGAGGGTTATTGGCTCTATGTCCTCCCAGAGGTTCTTGTAGAATTCAGCAGTGAATCCATCAGGTCCTTGCTTTTCTTGGCTGGTGGGTCGTTCCTACCCCATACCGGAGATCGAACTCAGGACTTTGCACTTGCCAGGCAGACGCAGCACCACTGAGCTACATCCCTGGCCCTGGCCAGTGGGTTTGTTACCCAGGCCAGAGTGCTCTTGTACCTCTGAGAGCCTGCTTTCCTCACCTGTAAAGCAGAGGTGCTGAAAGAGCCTTGCAGGGTTCCTGCGGGGTCAGACGGGAAGCACAGACAGAGGTGCTTTGTGCCTGCAGAGCTTGACCACAGTCGCAGGCCAGCTGGGGTGCAGGGGCCCATGAGCATCACTCTCTGAGGGTTGGTGCTGCAGCCTGGGGCCTGGCAGCGAGGCCTTTCCTGGGTGCCTGGACCCTGGGACTCTGGAGTGGCCTGCGTCGGGCACTTCTGCATTTGCTGCCCACCTGTGCCAGCAGAGCACACAATGGTCCTGCAAGAGAGAGGCTGAAATTACTCAGAAGGGGAGGACGAGGTGCTAGTGGCCCTCCCCGGGCCTCTGGGGCACACAGCAGGTGACCTAAATGTCCATCAGAGGATGAATCCGTCTGGCCCAAATCACACCCACCCTGAGTAGGACATTGGGCTAGTTCTCACCAGGAGAGCTGGTCTCGGGGTGAGTGGGGCTCTGTGGGACTGCTTGCTGTCACCTTGCAGGGCTGGGCTTCTGCTGCCCGCTCCTGTGTGCCCCTCAGCTGAGAGCGAGATCAGCTGCTACTTCACCTCCTCTCCATGTCCTCGGCTGGCTGTGGCCTCATGGCTACACCACATTCTGTGGGGAGATTTATAGTAATGTTCCCTTTTTTTTTGGTTACTGATAATTTATGCCATTAGATTTTTTTCCCCTTCTTTTCTTGCTAGGGTTTAACGTTTTAGCCTCTTTGGTCACCACCTTATGTCTTTGTTACTTTCCTTGTCTTTGTTACACTTCCTGTCTATAATTCATTAATTTATGCTTTTGATTGGGTCATCTTCTCTTTTTTACTTTCTTTGGTTTTACTTTGTGGCCTTTCTACCTTCTTGAGATGGAACTTAAATAATTTTCAGTTTTTCTTTTCCCAAACTTGCATTTAATGCTATAGATTTTCCTTATTAGAATTGCTTTAGCTTACCCTGTAAGTTTTAATATGTCATATTATCATGGTCGTTTAGTTCAATGTAGTTTCTAGTTTCATTGAAATATATTTGATCCATGGGCTACTTAGAAGCATATTGATTAGTTTCTGAACATTTGGGGATTTGTTTAAAATTATGCTTTTGCTGTTGATTTTTAGTTTAATTCTACTGTGGTCAGAGAACATACATGCGGTCAGTTTTGATGCCCTTGAGAATCATGTGTATTCTGCAAACTGTGTTTAAATATCTTTGAAAGTAAAATAGTAGTGGGCCGGGGATTTAGCTCAGTGGTTTCTCTGCCTGCTGCGCAAGCGCAAGGACCCGAGTTCAATCCCCGGTACCAAAAAAAAGAAAATAAAATAGTAGTAAGTATCATTTATGTCATGTTTGCATCTACCTCAAACTAATTCTTTTATCCTTTTGGTCATAATGCAGAGACTTTGCAAAACTTAAGCTTCATTTAACCATCTGCTGCCCCCATTTTCTGGCTGTTGTTGTCATGAATTTTAATTGAACATATATTTAAAACCCCACAGACATTATTATGATTGTCTGATGCAGTTACTGTTCACTACTTATATTCACCCACAGCTTTGCCCTCTCGATTGTGCCCCATTCTGTCTTTATTTCTGTGCTTCATCTTTTTTTTTGTACCGGGGATAGAACTCGGGTCCTTGCGTGTGCACAGCAGGTGGCAAAACCACTGAGCTAAATCCCCAGCCCTCTCTGCTTCATCTTAAAGAATCCCCTTTAGTATCGTTTTTCATGCAGCCCTGTCAGCAGTAAATTTTCTCCATTTCTTAAAATTTTATTAGTCCATGTTTGCAACACATATGATGACATTCATTGTGGGGAATTGATACATGTACATAGCATCTTAATTCTTTTTTTTTTTTGGTACCAGGGATCGAACTCAGGACCTTGCCCTTATGAGGCAGGCGGTGGAACCATTGAGCTAAACCCCCAGCCCCTCCATTTCTTATTGTCTGGAAATGTGTTTATTTTGTTTTTATTTGTGAAAGACACCTGCCTTAGTTTATTTTGTGCTGCTATAACAGAATACCTGAAACTGGATACAGATAAAGGACAGAAATGTGTTTCTAACAGTTCTGGTGGGCAGGAAGTCCAAGCCCGGTGTTTGGCCTGGTGACGGCCTGTTGTGCATCCTCGTGTGGCAGATGGGCTGCTAGCCGCTTGCTGTGTGAAGAGCAGTCCTCAAAGCTGCCACCCTGACAGCCCCACCTCTTGGCACTGCCATCCTGTCAGCGCCTGGATGTGGGGCCAGCACAGTCAAATCACAGCAAGGCTTTTTGCAGATAAGGGATTCTCGGTTGGGAGCTTTTTACAGCAGCCTCTCGGGGGTGCCTTCTGCTACCCTCAGGCTCCATCATTGCTGCAGTCAGGCCTGCGTCACTCTGCTGCATTAATGCTTATTATTCTCTCCGGTTGCTTTTCCTTTTTTTTTTTTGGTACCAGGGATCGAACTCAGGACCTTGTGCTTGGGAGGCAGGTGTGGCGCCACTGAGCTAAACCCCTGGCCCTGCATTGTTCTTTTTGCCTTGTCTTCCCACGGTTTTACAGTGATGTGCCTTGGAGTCTTCTCTGTAGTTATCAGTGGAGTTAGAAGAGTTTCTCGAATGGCCGGCTTGCAGATTTTCAGCCAATGTCTTTTTATTGCTCCTGCTGCACTTCCCTCTCCTTCTAAAATTCCTTGACAGATATTTTTATTATGTTCCATACTCAGCCTCTTTCCCGTTCTGAATCTTTTTTTCCTTTCTGTGCTTCAGATTAAATATACTGTACCTGACTTCCAGTTTACTTCTGCTTTGTCAAATCAGTCCTTGTCAAATCCTCTGCTCGTTTATTAAGTCCTTAATTTCAATTATTGTGTGTTTTCAGTTCTTGAATTTCCATTTAATATGTAAGACTGGACTTCAGTTCTCTGGTGAAGTAGACCATGATGTCATCTATTTTGGGAACTTATGAAACATTTATTTTACA